CTGCTGCAGAGCCGAGCTTTCATTAAAAGGGTTGGTGCGGCTAAATTAATATTTACCAACCGTGTTCCTGAAACACTTGATGCTTTGTTAAGTGGTTTGATACTCAGTGGTTGCAGAGTTGGGKTTTTTTTCCAGTTTTTCTCAGTTATCTGCTAGCAGGAAACGTAAAATACCAATACCAAAGTCACGAAGGGGCAGTAGGAAAGGTGGTGGTGGTTGTTTTTTTGCACTAGTGTTTGTGGCTTTTCTGCTGAATTTCAGCCTAGCTCTGAAGGTAGCTCTGGTCACTTCCCACTTGCAAGATTTTTTGCTTTGCAAATCTTAAAAGGTTTAGCAAGCAATAATGAATTTGGTAAGCTTGTTGGATAGTAGTCAGAGCAGGAAATTGGGAATGAGAATTAAAATTCCTGTTTTCTGGCAGCCCAAATTCCAGATTTCAGAAAGTCTGTAGACTCAACCAACTTTCACAACTGAAAACCCTCCAGCACGCTGAAGCCCCGGTCTGCTGGCAGAGACGTTGGCTCTTGGCTGGCTCTAAGGAGCCGCTTTCCAAAAGCGCCGCAGCGGCGCCTGCGCTCGGCCCTCGGCGCTACCACGGGCTGCGGTTTGGGGGTCCCGCCGCCCCCCTTGTGCAGCTTGGGCTGCCGGACACGCTTGCAGCCCCCCGGGACCTCGCTCGGGCCTGGTTTGTGCACAGAGCTGCTGCTCCCTCCCTCTGCCCGCTGCACAAAGGGCACGGATGCCCCTTAGTGCTGCCTTCTTTGTTCTGCGCAGGTAGGCACACGAGTGCAGCGCGTAACTTGATATTTTCAGTGTTGGAACTTTAAGAGGAGAAGCGTGACATTGGTCAAGTCTGTATTTCCTGCCAACTGCTACGGACAAAGCCCACCTATAAAGCTAATGCCAGGAGTTTGTTTTTTCTCTCTCTTCTTTTTTAAAGGTTGCTCCTTCCTGCCCTCTGATGCTGATATGACTGCCTAGTGGGGCTATGGCATATATTCAATCATAAATTTGCACTGAAAATAAACCTGCCCCCCAAACCCATGTATTTTTAAGCTGGCCAGGTCTCCCTGCTGGTGCCACTGCCTGTCCGGGCAGGACTGTGCATGGAACCAGGACAGGGATGGGGATGGGGACAGGAGCTGGCGGGGCCTTTGCAATGGAGGGTGCTTGGGGCCACAACCTCCTGCTGCTTCAAATTAGAAAATTGTCCTTTGTTTTAGGCGCCCAGGGAAGCTGGACACAGGATGCATTAATAGCTCCAAATATTTTATTGCTGAGGCTTGTGAAGCTCTATCAGATGGAAGTCATGTTTACGAAACAAGCTGTGTTTGCACGGGGAAGGGAAGAGGCCCCGATGTTGCTGGTGTTCAAACATCTGCATGAGTGGAAGAGAACTTGCTCTCCACATGCCTGCCAAGGGCTGAGCGCCTCATGCAGCAGCTTAGTTGTTATCTCAAAGCCTGAGCTGTGTTTTAGTACACTGGTCCAGCAGGATGCATTAAACTTGGTTGCAATAGCAAGCTTAAGAAATGTCTGCCTTGTGAGCAAGTGCAGATGGGTGATTTTTGCACAAAACTGGAGGAAGTGGTGGTTAAGTGTAGATAATTCATGGGAAAATCTTTTTCCCTCCTTAGCTTTTCTGCACCCTTGTTGAAATAGGGGAAGGATGTGAGCCTTGAAATGCCATGAATTTCCCTTTCCTAGTTAATCTTATAGTTGATGGGACTTGATTAGAACATAATAGACTGTTTGAAGTCTCGCACAAGACATCCTTATCAGAGAGTCTCTGCAAAGTGAGTCCTTCCCTAATGGCAATGCCAAGGAGTTCACAGGGCTCCAGCGCAACGATGCCCTTTATGAAAGCAAATTAATGGGAGGAAGTCAGAGCTGTAATAGCCCGATTAATGTTAGATGTCTGAATAACGATTGCTTAATAAAATTTAAACACCAATTGTCTTGGCTTCAAAGTTTAAACAGAAGAACATGTAGGCACAGGAATCAGTTATTAAATTTCTGCCCAATTAAACTGCAGAATATTGTTGGGAAACAGTATTATCATATGCTTTGGTTAGCCTGTGTGGACATGAAAAAATTGCATGTAAAAACGGTGTTTGTGGTTACGTCTTTGCACTGCACTTCATTATGGAGTATTCTTGGTCTTGAGAATTCAAAAAGATGAGAAGAATGTTCTAATCCCAAACTGAATTGGGTTGAAATGCGCTGAATTGAGAGTTGTATGAGAAACTAAACTTTGTTTTCAGTGGATGGCAATTTTTTTTTTCCTGAAATGTGGGGCATCAGAAGCACAGCTTTAAATTATATTAAGAAGAGTGTACCTGTCTTGGTTAAGAAACCCAGCCCTGCTAATACAGCCCTGCAAACAGCTGTAGTGTTGCAAGACAAAGGCAGCAAAGGCGAGCGCGGGGGGAGGCAGCGCCAAAAGCGCCGAGGGGAGCGCGGGGCCTGCGCCCACCGAGCACCTCGTGCACCCAGGTCTTACTGGAGCACGAGCCTGGGCTTGAAGTTGGGGTTATCTACCCCAGAACAGGACAGGTTTTGCAGGTGACGCCTCGGCTGTTCCATAGTGTTCAGATTTTAGACATTCCCCTCTCCTTAGCGAGTCAGTCCCATCATTGCTCCCGAGTCATCCCTCTCTCCAGCCGCTTTGTGGCCGATAGAAGGGCAGCCGCATCATCTCTCCCGCTGCTGTTTGGGTCTGCTGAGAGCGAGGCAGCGAGCAGGAATTGTGCCATGAGTCACTAGGTTCCCATATTTTTCTATCTTTTCTGTAGGGACAGCACAACAAGGAGGGTCTCAAGCTGATGSCCTGTGTGCAGCTCCACTCTCCAGGGAGAGAGAAGCTGGGAGCTTTTTTTCCAAGAGCTTGGCAGATTTATGGACTCTTCCAGTCTATAAATGGGATAGAAAGGAGACAAATAGTCAGGACTGAGAGCTTTAGGTCTGCCTTTTTTCGAAGGAGGTAGAGGGTGAGTGGGAGAATCTAGGTGATAAAACTGGAGAGTGGGATGCAATTACTGGCACCTTCATTTGGCCAGGACATTGGAATTAACCGGCTGCCGAGGCAGGAATTGCCAGAGGCCTTGCAGGGTGTCACAGCTTGGGGGGTTGCGCTTGGCACGGCAGTGAGTCCACCTGGAGCCCATGGGCGCCCACAGCACCCGGCCCGTCGTGCGGGGCAGCCCTCCTGCAGCGCCCAYGCTGCCTGCTCCTGGCTTCCTGTTCTTAAGGTTCTGCCGCCCTTATAGCGTGCCCAGAACTGCTCATCTGCATTCCTGAGATCTGCCAGGCGCGGTCCTTGGCGTGAAGGTCGGCATGGATGGATACTACAAACGTGTCTGCTTACGTGAATGGTGCATCTCTTGTGCCTGTTTTGCTCTTGCATTGCCCAGGCCTTCTAAGGAACCTTGCAAAGCCGGGGCATCTCCCCGCTGGAGATGGAGTTATGTTAAAACAACCAAACCAAAGCTCCTACRTTCTCATCAAAACATCTAGGATGGCTCAAGTTTTCTTATCAGATACGTATGTGCTCTTGCTGTGCAGGTCTGCCTAACCATKAACTGATTGATTGATACTCAATTATAATTTTGGAAAGTTTTTGTTATGCCAAACTTCACATTTGTGAAGCAGATAAAGTTTGTGGTTGGAGCCACCCCAAGGTAAATACCCCTCCCTCAACAAAGAATCCTGTTTCTGTATTGATCCGAGCTGACGGAAAACTTCAGCCCTTGTGTCAGAAGGTGCCAGGAAAGCAAATATAATGGAATGCTTCTGTCTTTAGAGACTGTTTTTTTCCTGTTTCTCATCACGTAAAAATGGTTTGGATTTTCTGTCAATTCTTCTTAGTTTTGTTGCTTATTTCAATGTGTTGTAAAGCTTTGTGAAGACTGCTTTTGCTTATAGTGTTTTTGGAAAGACCTAGAATAACTTAAGTTTATTTTTGAAGTGTCTTTTATGTCTGCCAGTGTATGCCAGCAGATTCAGTGTCCAGTTCACAGAAATAGTGTATTTGTGACATTGATCATCTGTTAAACTTCACCTAGAGAAGCTTTTATGGTCTGGGTTATTTTTGTGCCAAGCTGTCTCATAGTGGTAGGAAATGTTTGACATTTTTACTTGATTTTACTTTTTAGGTTTTTTTAAAAAGAAAGCTAAAGTTCAAGACTTTCACTTTTGATAAATATTAAATATAGCTCTTGGCAACAGCAGAGCATATTCTGCTTTTGAGCATCACTTTTTCTTTTGTCCCGGGGTGATTATCTGATTCTCCCTCAATTTCTCCCTTAACGTTTCTTGCGTGGGTGCGTTTGCGCTGACGTGGACAGAAGAGCCTCGTGGGGCTGCGTGTGGCTGCCGCAGCAGGGCAATGCTGCTGGTACAACTGGGGATTTCTTCCCCCTCTTGCACCAAATGGGGAGCACGTCCCAAAAGGTGCCTGAGGGGCAGGGCTGGAAGGCAGCGGCTGCTGCGGGGAGGCAGAAGCAGCTTGAGGGTTTCACAACTGCTTGTGAAGTCCAAGGTTGTGGCTGCATGAGCAAACTGCAGCCAGAGCCAGGCCCTCTTTGGCCTGAGGATGAAYGGAAATGCCAAATAGGGGTTCATCAGAAGATGGAAACTGTTTCTGATGTGGATGATGTAAGTGATGCTCAACTGATTTGTGTGCTAAATATATTCAGAGCAGCGGTTAAAAACAGTTTCTTTGATTGAAAAATACACACAGTGAATTTTGCACCGCAAGTTTGTGCCAACTTCCCGCACGAGTTTCCGTCTTGCTCCTCCCTCCGGCGGGGTGTTGAGCCGGACAGGGGAGGTGTGCGCGGCAGGGACCGTATGGCACAAGGAACGACTCGAGCCCACCACGATTGTGTGCCCAAAAATGGCAGTATTGCTCTGTGCCTTTGGCCTGTTTACTCCTTTCTTTTAATCTTTGAATTTTTCCTTACCCAGATGTGGAAGTTAAGGTGACCGGGTCCTTGCGGCGGGGGCAGTAGTTTGGTGGCCCTTAGCCTGGCTCTGCCCCTCCTGRGAGCTCCTGCTTTCGCCCAGGCCTCCGAGGACGAGGAGAAGGGAACTTTCRGCAGGATCCGCTTAATAGCAGCAGGTACAACCTAAGTTCTTCCTCTTCCCCTTTGGAAGCTARAGGAGAGCACAGGGGTCCCTGCTCGGGGCCACCTCGGGCCCTGYGCGTGGGTGGGAGAAGCCTCAGCCCAGCCCTGTGCTCGTGGACACGTGAGGACTCAGAACCGGGATCCCCTCGGCTTTGGAGGGCAGGGAACAAAGCCTGGCAAAAAACTTCATTTGAATCACCACTTTTCCCTGTTTACGGTGTATTAAAGCAACTGTTTATGATGACAGGTTTCCTCTGAAAGCTTTGTGCTGTTTGTTGACCAAAATTAGTTGCTAACAATACTGGTTTGGTAGAGGTGCCATAGTCCTTTGCTTCTCAAAGTGCTTCTGCTGCATCCTGCTCCTGCGCTTGGGCTCATTCAGCTGTTTTTCATGGCTGTGCAAGATAAGAATTACGAAGTTGTCTGCAGCCAGAGCTCAGAGCCCACCAAACCACCAGCTAGGGCTTCCTCTGCTTATGTTTCTGGTGCCGGTGGGATTTTAGTAGCTCAGTACCTGCTGTAGGCACCTGAAACACCCCTGCCCACAGAGGGAGAGGATCAGAAAGCAGCAAGCGTAACGGGGATCCCTCCGAGCTACTGGCTCTAATAACCCCCTCTCCATTGAGTTTAAATGCCGACCTGCAGCGATGTTTTGTCTTTTACTGCACTGCACGAGGCTGGTGAGGGGTAGCAAAAAATCCACTTAGCTGGTATAATATTCCTGACGACTAATTGGCATTGACTGTTGGGGCCACAGTAACTGGTTGGACTCCAGCTCTGATCTCGGTGAGTTCCTGCTCCAGAGGCCCTTCCAGGCACAACCTTGTTCCAAGTGGCCACGACTTGTTTCCTTCCCCCAAAGAGCAGGAGTAAATATTGATAGAGTTTTGGAAGATGATGCCTAGCTCTGTAACAGCTAATAGAGATCTCTTTGTTAATATTTAATCCTCTATTTACAAAATCTTAATGTAAAGCTTTTAATTAAAAGTTATAAGCATGTAGATGTACAGCTGTATTTAATTGACTGTGTTGGCATATCTACACAAATAGCTATTCTGAGGTAGGTGAGCGCACTTCTGCTCCCTGCCTAATGCTTTGCCCTTAGTAGTAAAAAGCCATCGATTCGACCTGCTCCAGGTGACTTTAACTGATCAGTGTCTACAATTAAATCTGATTGTGTCAGTGACTAAATCCCATACTTAGATTCAGGTCATACTGGGGTACTATCTGAAAAAAAAATAGCTCTTAAGCTTCTGGAGCAAGTTCACATTTTGCTGGCCACATCCCAGTGAAAGTTCCCCTCTCAATAAGCAGAACCAGTGTGTGCTTGSAGTAGTTCAGCTGGTTTTAGCATGACTGGAGAGGAAAAAACTTCGTTTTCACATATAAGTTAAAAGTTACAGGCTCCATATCAACATATGCTAAGGCATGCACTTTGTTTACATTGCAAATACTGCAGGGAAGTGCAGCTATCTGTTGCCTTAAAAGAATGAAATACTTAAATTTATATTGAGCATTTATTCTTTTTTTGGCATCCCCTTAAATTTCATTATACTCAGGCTAGTAGACAACATGAAGCCAAATGAATAAGAAATAAGGTTAAAATAAATAATTTCAAGATGAGAAGGCTTGCATTAGAAAAATGAGTGATAGGTTCAAGTCTTGTTTGCAGTGGAATAGCTGTTTTTGCGCAGCTTCCAAATTAATGTTTTTGTAAACATGTTGAAAATAATCAGGCAGTTGTCTCAAAACAAGAAATGACTTTGTGAGCAGATGGCTTTTCCAGTTCGGGCTGCAGAGTGCAAGGACACTACTGCTTTTCTGAAAGCACCCACCATATTTTTGCAGATCAGTAAAGCAAATTTATGAATCTCTTGACATGAAGATAGAACCACCTGATTTATCATCTTTTTTTTTTGCTTACTTATGTAAGTCCTAATCTGAATTTTATCACACTCAATGGGGATTTCTTTTAAAACTTACTTTTTCTCATTGCCATTTGACATACTGCTGCTAAGTCAAGCAACAAGACCAGGGTGTGAGAGGGATGACATCCAGGTTCCTAATCCATGTTTTTCAGTAGGGTAATTCTGTATGGCCTAAGGCAAAAGGTTCAGTATTACCCCAACTTCAGTGAAATACTGTTTTGAGTAAAATTTCATTTGGGAGCTAGGGGGACCTGGAAACAACATCAAAGCTTGAGGTTGGATTATGGTAGAGGAAGGATGCCAAGAGAGGTGCATTAGGAACACAAATAAAAGCCAGTTTAAAGCAGAAGTCATGTGTTGAGTGGGTGGAGGATGAGAGAGCAAAACTGGGAACATTTTGGGGTGGGGGTAGTGAGCAGAGGAAAAAAAAGGGTAATTTTAGAAGTGAATGGCCAGTGAACTGCATGGATTGAAATAGTCTTAACGATTCTGCAGGTGAAATGTTTTGGAACAGTATTTTGCTCGAGAACTTTGTGTGTGGGTTTTTTTTTTAAATCACTACATAAATTATCAAATTATCAATAATAGAAATGGAAAATTGTCTGTAAATTGTGGATTACAGCTGTTCTAGGGGCCAGACTTTTAAATGGGGCGACCTTCTCCGTTTTGAGGAGGTGAGGTCAGAAGAGGGTTCTGAATGGAGCTTGTTATTCTGGCCAGGCAGGTACAGGGGGCTGGCCCTTTGCTTTCAGTCCTCCTCGCTTCCCTCTGTGATCAAAACTCTTGTTTTATTTGCAGCAACATGAACCGTGAAGACCGGAATGTGCTGCGTATGAAAGAAAGGGAAAGGCGAAATCAAGAAATTCAACAGGGTGAAGAGGCCTTTCCACCTAACTCTCCTCTCTTTGCTGAACCGTACAAAGTTGTGAGTTCATGCACCTCTTACAAAATCATTTTTTTGTAGCAGAAATCTTATGCAATGAATTTTTACAGGATTTTTTTAAAGCACAACTCTCTTGTCAGCTAGTATTTAAGCAGGACTTGAAGTAAGGATGGGCAGTTGATTACTAACCAGTTCTATCAGCAGATATGAAGTAATGCTTCTGATGGACTCCCTGCTTTGAAGGGAGTCAGGAAWGAGGCAATGAAACCCTAAAATCTTTTGGTTTTCTTCTGTCTTGCTACAGTGGCTTAAAACACTTAAACTGTTGTTTGTCTTATGGCAAATGGCTTTCGGGGGGGTTTTTTAACTTGCTGCCAATCTTTCTAACCTACAGTCAATGTAGTCCAGACTTGGGTAAGTCCAGAAATGGAATATTCCAAGTAGGAGCTTATTTTTAAATGCTGAAATACCTAATGTAGTGAAATGATCAGCTTTTTGGTATGGGAAATGCTGATACAGTTTTTCAGTTGTTCGATGTCAGCATAAGGCTAAGGAGGACTGTGGCTGAAGTGCATCTGCTCTTTGTGTTTGAGGAGGGTTAAGTTACAGCTTAAAAACCAAACTAGAAATAGGAATTGGAAACAGTAGCAAAAAAAGATATGGATGTTAACCGTAATTTCAGACATGTAATTCAGGTCAGCTGCAATAATTGTGTCAGGTCAATCTACTGAAAGTGAAGTTGTGACTTTTGTAACTCTGTTTTGCATTTGCTTTTTAAAAATGATTTTCGCAGACCAGCAAAGAAGACAAACTGTCTAGTCGTATTCAGAGCATGCTTGGAAATTACGATGAAATGACGGATCTCATAGGAGACAGATCGCTACAAAAGCTTGTTGGATTTCCCAAACCGACTGTACCMTCAACAGCTGAGGAAAAATCAACCCAAGGTTTCTTTGGTGAACAGAGACACAATGCCAGCTCGCACCAGAGCAGCAAATGGACTCCCGTAGGGCCAGCACCTAGCACTTCCTCCCAGTCTCAGAAACGGTCCTCGGGGTTGCAGAGCGGGCACAGCAGCCAGCGTGGCAGTGGCAATAACACTAGCAGTGGTGGCCAGAGACATGACCGTGACTCGTACAGTAGCAGCAGCAGCCGCAAAAAAAGCCAGCATGGATCAGAACACTCCAAATCCCGTTCTTCCAGCCCTGGAAAACCATCTGCTGTTTCCTCGCTGAGCTCCAGCCATTCTAGATCTCATGGAAACGATCATCACAACAAGGAACATCAACGCTCAAAATCCCCCCGGGATCCTGATGCCAGCTGGGACTCTCCCTCCCGTGTACCCTCATTTTCGAGTGGACAACACTCTAGTCAGTCTTTTCCACCTTCCCTCATGTCCAAGTCTAATTCAATGTTACAAAAACCCACTGCTTATGTAAGGCCAATGGATGGGCAGGAGTCCATGGAACCAAAGTTATCCTCTGAACACTACAGTAGTCAGACTCATAGCAGCAGCGTGAATGAGCTGAAGCCCAGCAGCAAAGCACACCTAACCAAGCTGAAAATACCCTCCCAGCCACTGGATGTAAGTTGCTACCGGTTTACTGCTCTGTTTCGGTTTTAGTGAAGCCTCCTCAGCCTGGAATCTTACAACTTAAAATCCCAGACTAACCAGAAAGTCGTTTTTAGTGAATAGGCTACTTTTTGTTAAAGCAAAATATCTTCCACTTCAGCAGTGAAAACCTGTGTTTTGCTTGGGAAGTGTGCAAATATCAATTTATTTTTTCCTTCTGCTTCTTCCACGTGAATGCCATGATTTTTATTGAGGAAAGGTTAATTTTAGCCTAGAGATGCTACTTTTCCTAGAGTCCTTCTCTAGTTAGAAGTTAGTGAAATAGCAGGATATCCACGAGGATGACAAGTTACCTGCATATCTTGTCTTTACTGTGGGCCRCGTTTTGTTAGCCTAGTGGGGCTATGTCTGCATAGATCAATTTCTTTGGCAGTGTGTGGCGATGGCTGCACATGAGGATGCCAGACCCAAAGCACACCAAACTGAATGGGTGCCAGATTTTTTTAATCATATATGTTGGATGCAAAACTATATTGGTTTAACAACTTYCAGGAGTTTGGCAGTTCTAGAGTCAACAGGGCATGGACTGAAGAACTGTTTGCCTAGAGGCCATGTGTCTGCTTAATAAAAAGTAATGCCATTGCATCTCCTATTAATTGCTGGAGTGGTGGAAACCAGAGAAAAGCTKTTGTAATTTGGACTTTAATAAAGAACAAATAAGAGCCAGAAAAACTGTAAGGCAAATCAGAAATAATTTATTTCCACATTGCTAAAGCCTTGAYGTGCTAATGCAGACCCAGTGAAAGGTGCAGTAACTTTGCTTCCTTCCTGCTTTTAGCAGTCAGGGGTGTAGGAAAKTCGTAGTTTCATAACTATTGCCTTCTCTATTTGTAAGCTGTAATGTATGTTTTACTTCTTAATACAGTCTATGTCATTACTTTGTGTTTACTGTCATGCATTTGAATTCCGAGGGCAAACAGTGGCTTCTTCCAGGAACTGACAGAAAGTTAAGATCCTCCTGCCCCTCCCCAGAAATTCTTACTAGCACTGGCTACCTAGGTTCACTCTAACTGCCAAGTGAAGTGGAAGAGGTTATTGTGGCAGTTTTATATATCTGATATATTTGCTTTTCATAACTGAATGTGAGTCATGCCATAAAAATATGGATCTATCTGCTATTAGAGTTAATGTTGCTGAAAAGAATTAGCAAGGTCTGTTTGTATCAGTATGAAGCCTGCATGAATCATGCTAAGTACTGCAATTTGTTTGTAACTGCTTTTAACCTCTGGGATCTTTTAAAGAACATTTGCTTTAAGAGACATTAATCCTGAGTTTTGATTTGTAGGCATCAGCTTCTGGTGATGTGAGTTGTGTGGATGAAATTCTAAAAGTAAGTTCTCTGGACTTTTGTTCATAATGTGTTTGTTGAAAATGCAGCCGCTGCTGGGGAGGTGGAAGGCACTCTGCCCGGGAAGGTGCCTCTTGCAGTCACCTCCACTGCAAGGCGTTCGAGGCTTCCTTTATTGCTCCTCTAAGGGAGGTGGACTGGGGAAAAGTCCACAAGTTGCMGGCCTGGCTGTGAGCTGCTGCTTGCATTGCCCGGCACGTCACTTCCTGGACACCCCATAACCTTCCTTTGCTTTAAGTCACTTCCCTTTTACTCAACTGGAATGAGCCATTTCTTCCACCACCGTACGGCTCTGACGATCTCATAACTTCTCTGGATGGTGACAACTTTCTACCCAGGCTATTTTCYCTAGTCTTGCGTCCCCTCCTATGATGACCTCATCCGATGTGTTTTATTGCGAGGGAAGCATCAGATTTCTCCCTGAACATTTGCACAGCTGACGGTCTGCTGTGACCATCAGTGCTCCATGTTTCTTGGAGGTGCTCTGGGGGAATACAGGATGCCTTTTCTTTCTTTCCCACCCCAGGCATTTGATTTCTGCTACTTCCCAAATTGTATAGGCTTCCCTTTCCACAGGAAGGAAAGAAACAGACCTCTTTCTATCCCTTTATCCTACATGCTCTTTTCACACTCTCTGACTTCTACTGCAGTTTATGTTCAGGCCAACCAGTTTTATTGATTTTAGGTCTTTCTGCTTCCTTTGTTACTGCATCTTAACTATTTGTTTTCATGGATAACAATTTAAGGTTTAGGTTGAAGTGCCAAATTTTATACACTTGGGAAATTAAGATGTGAATATAAAGTTTAGTGAAATGTGAATAATAAGCTGAAACTTGAGATGCAGAGTTATAATTTGAATGAGATTTGTAACTTTAAATCTTTGGACTGCTTTAAGGTTGTTAACGGCTTTTCTCTCTGATTCGGCTGCAGGAGATGACCCATTCTTGGCCTCCTCCACTGACTGCTATTCACACACCATGCAAAACAGAACCATCAAAGTTTCCTTTTCCAACAAAGGTCAGTGCCACAGTTAAATACTGAATGCTATTAAAGCAAGAGTAAGTGCTATTAAAGATCAGGGTTTTGCAGGATTTTTAAAATTCAATTCGGTGTAGTTACACATTTATTTCAGTGATCTGTATTCCTTTATCTCGCTTTACAACAGAATTTGTCAGCAGTAGCCTTGTGAAGATGTAGTTGTTTTTCCTCTCTCTCTCTGTTTTACACCAGCGATCTGCAAAGACATGTTCAGTAGATCTTTYCTTTTAAGCTTTTTTCAKAATTAATACCTTCTTCAGGGTGTTTCTGAAGTTGGAAAATGCCACTGAGATGTGTTCCCTGTTGGTGAAATGCTCTGTGACAATTTTGGTAGAAACAGGGAAGTGTTGCATTTACCTCCACCTCACAAAGTAATGGACCTGGGCTTGTAAGTGATATGAAATTTATARTACTTTTGTTGCAAACTGAATTTTCTCACAATTTTGATGTCCACGGGTAGTCCTATTAAATTTTACATTTTCAGTTACCCCAAAAAAAAAAAGGCATTCCGCTACAGAAGTTCTCTCAGATTATTTGTCTTGAGAGATCTCTTTCTAACTTCCCATATTCTTGATGACTACTGAGTGGTTTAAGCCATTAATTCTAAAAAGAAACAAGTCACCTCTTGGTGACATTGATGGCTTACGGTGTGTGTCCGGGAGCCCTGCCTGAGCCCACGTCTCTGAGGAAAGRGCTGGTCTTGCTCCCAGCTCTGTGTTCCCACCCTCGGCAGCATCTCCAAGCTCTTCTAGCTCACTAAAATGAAGATGAAAATTTCTTTTTTCTTTTTCTAAAAAAAAAGAAAAAGGGATTAAGTTATGGGGAAAAGAAATATTTTTTCCTGTTGGGTTAGTGGTTTGCATCACTCATAGAAGGGTCTCATGATTGCAAGGGCTGACACGGGGAGGGTAGAAATGYGGGAGGGGACTAGCAGAGGACTGTTTGGGCTGCCTGCAGAACTGCAGCCTAAAATCTTCCTCACAGGGAAGAGGAGATGGGTCTTCAGGGGCCTTTCCAGCAGGTTTCGCCCTTCCGCAAGGGCTGCCATTTTGCATTAAAGACATTTCAGGGGAGTGGTAAAAACAACTGCCAGCAAATGAAGGCAGGCCGCTGTGGGCCCCGCTGCTCGTCTCGGCTTGCACTTGGGATGTCGGCTTCGGAAATGACTTGGCTTCAGTGCTCCGGAGGTGCGCGCTGGCCTTCCCGCCAACAGAGAGCAGCTGGCTTTAAAGAGAACACACTGGCTTTAATTTATTTATATGTATTTTTTCTTTCCCTAGAAGAATGTTGTTACCTGTATGCAAAAGAGAACAAATTTTAAGAGAAAACTTCAGTTGCAACATCAGATCTGATATCATTCATAACAGCTTATTTCTGAAAAGGCTGATTGCAGACTGGAGTGATAAATGAGTTTTGGCAAATATGTTCAGGAGGCAGATACTGTGTTCACTGTATCCTGTTGAGATGAAAATCGACCAGGATGTATTGATAAACTGGGCATTCAAGTCCAAATTGTTAGTGTCAAATAATATATTTTTATTTTCAAATATGTATGTCAATTTACTGCACATAGTTGTACATCAGATTTAAAAATTATATYTTTAAATAAGCTTATGTAAACTTTGATTATTTATTGGTAATGCATAGAATCCACCTTGGATCCAAAGTAAATAACAAGCAAACTTAGTAGGAAAGATTAAAMTTCTGAGAAATGCAGTTCATGCAGGTAGGATGCAGAGTTGAAGCACGGCCGTTTATCTTAGATTGTATCGATTCATTTTTCCAAGGGAAGATGATGTGCAGGAGTGAAGCAGAGACTGCATTTAAATAGCAGTTGCTCTAGGTTAGATTAAGTAATTGCACTGTCGTGATTGGAGGTGCCATGGGGTTATTGGCAGATAAAGCTATCGCTGTGTAGAATTACATCTGTTAAGTCCTTGACTGAGAAATAGCGATAACTTAACATGTAATAGTTGATGGGCAGGGATTGTGCACTATTGCACAAATGTCCTAGCTCTTTAGCAACTGCAACTTACAGCACAGTGTTTTAGGGCAAGTCAGAACTGGTGACTTTGCCTTAAACTGCAGCTCCGCAGCCTGCGATATCTTGGAAGCTGCTGGGCAGGCAGGGTAGATAGCTGTGGGCTGCAACTTTAGCAAATACAGTGCGGTCGGAGATGGCTGACTCATTCGAGAATTCATGATTTGTTTTCCATATCTACTGATTACCAATACAAGATTTAACTTTGCAGTATAATCGTTCTGCAAAGTCAACACTTCTCTAAAATGTACTGGGACACTCTGACACAATTTCAGGCTATTTGGAAGCTCAGCAAACATGACCGCAAAAAATTGTGCTATTTATCTTTTTTAAAGGTGATTGCCACAGTCCTGCAGGCCGTCCTTTCCTAGCTGCAGAGCATTGCTGCTGTGCTTCCTGGTTGATCCAAATTGTTCCCCAAAACAGAATAGTGTGAAGTGGTTTAAGAAGCTTTTCTCACTGAGCTTTCTTATGTAATCCCACAGGTGGTCTTGCCATGTGAATGGTTCAACATTACTGTTTTMGCCTTCTCTCTTTCCATGATAGCATGTGTCCAAATTTGTGTTCGAAAGTCAAAGTAAAGGAGCTCTAATGCAGGAAGCATTGAATTACTGTTTGTAACTAGTTTGACAGGACTGAGATTTCTTGTTTTCAGCGTTTGTAACTGTTAGTTATAAGAGAATGTTTCCATGTATGCTCTGGTAATAGTTTGCAGCAGAGTGGGAAGAGATTTATGTTTAATCCAGGTGATTTACCTAGGTGAGCAGTTTGTTAATGCAGCTTTCTGAAAGGCTCCAGCTGCATCTCCTGCTTCCTTGTTGGCCAGAGGTCCCAGGCACCAAGTGCACTAGGTGCTGACCCGCCGAACAACCAGGCTGCTGCAGAGGGAGGAGGTTCAGGGGCCGCTGTCCCCTAGATCCCCGGAGCTGCAGCCTGTCCCCAGCTCCTTCCCTCCCCAGCTGTGCTCTAGTCCCAGGGCCTCTCGCTTGCCAGGGACTTGTAAATGCAGAGTGTGTGGCACTGCTCTCCGTTTGCCTTTTGAAGGCAAATCTAGAAACAAATCTCACTGTCTGGACTTAACATTATAATCTTAACAATGTAATGGTGAGTTTGATACATATTTATCTTGCATAAGTTCCTTTCGTTCAAGACTTCTTTGCTGTGTTATATAAAGCTAGGGAGAAAGAAACCTTTGGATTTTGTTTCTTTGCCAAAAAA